AGAACAGTTTCGTAGATCAGCATTTTGAGGAAGAATGCTAGTAGCAATGTGATTTACCGCAAATATGGCGTAAGCTTCTGCCCTATCAATGCCGATGTCATTGTTGATGTTTAGGATATAAAAATAGTCCCACACTGTGGCGTTGTCTCATGAGGCCATGGTAGCAGAGGGCAGTAGGATAAGGCACACATACAGGAGCATGATCTGGGGTAGTTTGCAGGTTTACCTGGGGATATACCACCTGTACAGGTAATGGTGGATACCTGGCGATATATTGGTGGGATGAGGTCTTAAATATCGGAGTTCTAATAGAAAGCTGAAATGATCATGTATGTCATCTCCATGTGGTACCGGACGTATTGCAGAAGGGATGTTAGGATATTCCTGAGTCCATTTAATCTTCTTTAATTCTTTTTTTTTTTTTCTAATTGGAATGACCATGCAAAAGTAACAGTTGTTGTGATTATCAGTGGGCTCTCTACAAATTACTAGGACTGCAAAAGATATAGCTTGTCCTTTGCCAGTCAACCACAATTTAACTTTTGCTGCACATGAATAGCAACAACTGCTTGGCGTGAAGCTCTTATCTTGATCTCCTCCTGTTCTGCAGTCAAAATACAAACTGTAAACTTTTGTAATCACTTTAATTATAGTTCGGTTTTGTAAGAGAAATGTCACCTCACCACACACGTAACAAAAGTGTTCAGCTTTGCTTACACACGCCCTAGGCATTTCTGACTTAGGAAAGTTTCAATAGAGACAAAGACGCTAGCTAAAAAAGACGCAAAGCTTTTCAGGGATAGAATAGAATGACACAGAGGTGATGTAATCAAACGTAGGACTACATCATCATCTTATGGTTAATTTTATTGAACTTTAACAAAAATTATGCAACCGGCCATTACATTTGTGTAATATATGTAATTTGGCAATTAGGTAAACTAGTAGCGTATATCTTGAAAACTAGAGACAGTCAACATTTTTTAAATGTCTTTTTTGTTTTCAGTACAGCACAATTAGTTAGGATCAGCTGTTTTCATTTATGTTATATTTTGGTTGTTGACTAGTGATATCAGTTGGTTGATACTTGCGGCTCATTTTTACCTGCCCTAGGTGACAGACAAGGGACAACAGAGGCAAACTGTTAGTTTCACCCTTGTGGTCACGTGTTCGCTACTTGTAATACATAAAGACAGTCACGTGTGCAGGCCCACTTTAAACATGGTCGTCTACGAGTATATATATGGCGTCTGGTGGATTCTGAAATTATCCAGGCAAGACTAGGTAAGAGCACTGTATCTGTCTGTCGTACTGTCTAAGGTTAGAACAAGTTAAAAGTTAGGACTGGTCGACTGGTGGAGCTATATTTGTGTCATCATCATCATGATCATTATGATCCTCATCATCATCATCATCATCATCATCATCATCATCATCATCATCATCATCATCATCCTGTTTGCAGGTACTTTGCAGATGGTCGCTCTCATCACGGTCTGCCTGAAAGAAGCTCAATCTCTCGCTAGCTTTCATCCACGTTAGTATCCAAGGAGTCACTTATATCATGTGCCCTTCTTCGTTGTGGTCGAGTGGCCCTCATACCTCCTTCCTGGTACCATGCCTTCTGCTATTATTTCTGCTAATCCGCAATGACCCTTGACATGACCAAACCATTTCCTCTTCCGAAACAAGATGCTGTTAATTAGATAATCTTCCTTGACATTCAGATCTTTCAGAATATCAGCATATCTTCTCTTTTATTTTCTCCTATGATATTCTCAAAATCTTTCTGACGCATTTCTGCTCAAAAGACCTTATTTCCTCCCTAACAACAGGGATAGTCCACGACTCACATTCGCATGTTGGTACAGGGGAGATGGGAGATAGTACACGACTCACATCCGCATGTTGGTACAGGGGAGATGGAAGATAGTCCACGACTCACATCCGCATATTTGTACATGGAGGATAGGAGATAGTACACGACTCACATCCGCATGTTGGTACAGGGGAGATGGAAGATAGTCCACGACTCACATCTGCATATTTGTACATGGAGGATAGGAGATAGTACACGACTCACATCCGCATGTTGGTACAGGGGAGATGGAAGATAGTCCACGACTCACATCCGCATATTTGTACATGGAGGATAGGAGATAGTACACGACTCACATCCGCATGTTGGTACAGAGGAGATGGAAGATAGTCCACGACTCACATCCGCATATTTGTACATGGAGGATGGGAGATAGTCCACAACTCACATCCGTGTGTTGGTACATGGAAGATGGGAGATAGTCCACGACTCACATCCGTATGTTGGTACAGGGAAGATGGGATATAGTCCACGACTCACATCCGAATGTTGGTACAGGGAAGAAGGGAGATAGTCCACGACTCACATCCGTATGTTGGTACAGGGGAGATGAATGATAGTCCACGACTCACATCCGTATGTTGGTACAGGGAAGATGGGAGATAGTCCACGACTTACATCCGTATGTTGGTACAGGGAAGATGGGAGATAGTCCACGACTCACATCCGTATGTTGGTACAGGGAAGATGGGAGATAGTCCACGACTCACATTCGCATATTTGTACATGGAGGATGGGAGATAGTCCACGACTCACATCCGTATGTTGGTACAGGGAAGATGGGAGATAGTCCACAACTCACATCCGCATATTTGTACATGGAGGATGGGAGATAGTCCACGACTCACATTCGCAAATTTGTACATGGAGGATGGGTAATAGTCCACGACTCACATCCGTATGTTGGTACAGGGAAGAAGGGAGATAGTCCACGACTCACATCCGCATGTTGGTACAGGGAAGATACATGCTGGCAAACTGTTAACTTTGTTTTCTTTGCCGGTGCCTAACCATAGACTGTTAATGCTATTTAATCTTGTCGATGGTAAGTTTCTTAGGATAATAATGTGGCAGTTTCCCCTTGACTTCAGCATCCACTTGTCTCCAGACTAGGTCCCCAACCTTTAGCAACCTTTTAGATTGCCAGGACAGGTGAGTGCCCTGTCTGTTACATCCCTGCTAACAGTAGAGGCAGCCCCAAATATGTGCCCTTATCCCCATGGATACTTGGCTCCCTAAGCCGCTTTGATCACACTGAAGCGCGTTACCATCTTCTACCGCGTGGAGTTGTAGTTGCGGTTTTCCCTTCGATAAGCCTTGAGATCAGAACAGCACATCCCACAACTCTGCAGAACTTTTAAATTACTACCTTTTTTTAAAAGGTACTCACTACAAAGTTTCTAAATAAAGGTGCCCGCACTCACCATAAAGTGTCTAAAATTGTGCCAGTACTCAACACAAAATGTCTAAAAAGGTGCCTGTACTCACCACAAAGTGTCTACAAATAGGTGCCGGTACTCACTTTAGTGTATTAAAAAAAGGTGCTGGTACTTATCACAAAGTGTCTCAAAAAGGTGCCGGTACTCACCACAAAGTGTCAGTTCCAGTAGCGCAGAAAACAAATGATCCTAAAAAAGGTGTTAAGTAGTGTGAGACGTTGAGTGTTGCCAGACAAGAAAGAGGTCAGATAGCAACAACAAGAACACACACACACAAAAGTGGGTGATGATGATGATTAGAAAAAGGAGGAGGATAAATAAGATAAAGATGATGATGATGACAATAAATATGAAAAACAATGACAACGACAAAGATAGTCATTATTATGATGAAGATGATCATGGTGTTGATGTTAACGATAATGATGAAGACAATGATAATGATGTTGATGAAGACGATATCGATGATGGTGATGACGATGAATACGATAAAAGATAAAAAATATGATGATAATGACAGATAATAATTATGATGAAGATAATAATGGTGAAGATGATAAAAATTATGACCATAATGATAAGAATGGCACTTCCACAACTGCTTTGCGGAGTTCGCCAAACTTGTTTAGTATAAGTCTATCCTAGGATTAGAGAGGTGTAGTAAGTAAATTTCACCCAACCAGGACATTACACAGAGCGATAAATACCCGGTGAAACAAAGTGCCACCATGCCGATGAGGATCACCCGTGAAGAGGTCGTGGGAACCGCGTTCAACCATTAGGTTATATTGCAGCTCCCAGCAACAGCCAGAGTGGGGCTTTAAAATAAAGAAAATTTGCGTCCCACAAGGGGGGAATAACTGATAAAGAGGTGTAGTATGTTTAGGCCATAAGTAACATAGAGCCTTTTAGAACAATATTTTATGAATCAATTTCGCTTTATTGAACAGTAGTCTTTCACAAAGAGACCTTCATATGCTTCGGAACTGACAGTCCCATAGAGAAAATGTGATGGGTGATAATTCTTGGTATATGCTTTTTAATGCTCTACCATACAAGGCATATACCAAAAGGGGACGCAGAGCAAGAGGTAGACCAAGTACACGATGGAAAGATAACATCAAGAAACTCTACAGCACCACGATTTGTCTATGGTCGAAGCAGCCGGAAGAGCACCAAGCAGCACCTTGTAACTACCTGAACACCAGAAGTTGTAAAAAAAGACGTAAAGAAGAAAAAGAAGAATACGGTAATTCACTTCGACTACAACAAGTAAACATAAGAAGAGCAACAATTGTTCTATCGTTCCAACTGTTTTCCTTTACGCCACACCGCCTTATTCCAAAGAACCCGGTCAGTCAATCAATCAACATGTCTTGACGTCTCTATTTTCACGGCGCTTCAGAAAATCTCTCTTCCTCTAGATAATTCTCCAGCCCTGTGTGCTTTCATAGCCAATGCATCTGCAGTCATGTATCCACTTTCGCGGATTTCAGCCTCTCTCGTTTTCCTTTTCACAAACTGAACCCCCCATCAGCGTTTTCTCCAGACCACTATAGCGCTTCGTATGTCCAAAATACCCCAACATTCAAAAGAAGATACCGCTTCCCAAGAAGCCATCAATACAACCAAAAATTGCTGACTTGATACATTCCCCAGGTGAAGAAGGACCGACTGAAACCATGCTGCTGTACGCTTGTCTCATCCTGCTGCCAACAGCTGCCATGGCTGTGTGTGACAGGACAGTGATCTTGGCGTTTTACGATGCCGCTGACACTAACGGCGATGGCAACATTGGCTCCTCGGAAGTTACCGCCGTTGTCACTGTAGGTAACTTTACCATACTCCTGCTGAATTATGCAATACGTTAAGTAAAGTAACGGACCCTTCTCCACGCTTTTAAGCGTATTTGGCATAAAGGGCTAGACCTATATTTGATTAACCAATCGGCACTCAGTGGGTGATATGGTTACATTACGCCGGCCGCCTTTACCTCCTTGGGTTGTATTTGGTACCGATTTAATCTGGCTCGACCTGGGAGCTAAGGTCATTTTTGAAGAAAAAAAAAAAAGGCTCCGTTTGGAACCGAACCCAGTACTTTTTGATCCACACACTAGCGCCTATCCGTTGCACCCCAAATCTTCCCGTTAACTTGTTTTTGTTTACTTCCTCCCCCCCCCCCCCCTCAGTTACACATGTACATACCCAATGTCTATCCAGTAATATTTCCTATGTAGATTACACTGTTTCATGTTTTCTGATGTGTATGAAATTTGTTACAACAATTCCAAATTTAGATTTTTGTTGTTTAACTTTTAAATTTTGGCCAGAAAATCGACGGCAACAGCGACCAGATAGTGACAAGACAAGAACTGAGAGACAGACTTTATCTGGTAGCACCAAATCTGGTGGGTGAGTATTTCCAACAAGAGCATTTTGATTTTCCTTGGAACTTGTTTGTTTCTATGTTTTAGTATCCAAAAGCCAGGAGTTGTTAACCCTTAGGCTTGTTATTATGGATATCGCAACCTTTCGGCCTTGATTCCATTGTAAATACCGTAAATCTGGGATAAATGTGGCTTTTCTGCCTACCCCCCCCCCCCCCTGGAAGTGAACCCGAACCACAAGGAGTTCCTCACCCGCTCACCGCGCAATCCGGTTTAGCCAACTACACCAGAGAGCCGGGCTTCATTTGAACTTAACTACCAGGTTAAAAAAAACAACTAGATATATACTTTTATAGACTAGTCTCTCCAGATGGCTGATGGGGCTAAATCCCACGGGGCGCTTTTACTACTCAGTACATTACTAGGTATTCATTTTCGGTTGGATCAACCTAATAATACAGATTTGACCTATTGAACGTGTGACTGGTAGACAAAGGGCTAGCTATTACTTTTTAAGTGAGAGTGAAATATTTCCTTTTTTTTTCCTTTTAAATCAGCTCATTTGAAATGTGTGTTGAAAGATGTGTTCTTTAGTTTTTATGTTGTTTGTTTGTTTTAGTATCCAGAAGCCATGAGTTGTTAACCCTTAGGCTCGGTATTATGGATATCACAACCTTTCGGCCTTGATTCCATTGTAAAAACCGTAAATCTGGGAGAAATGTGGCTTTTCTGCCTACCCCCGGGAGTGAACCCGGACCACAAGGAGTTCGCCACCCGCTCACCGCGCAAAGGGTTTTAACCAACTGCGCTAGAGAGCCGGGCTTTTAGTTTTTATCTGCCTCCACGTCTTAGGCGTTGCGAACGCGTTTCGTAATGCCGAATGGTAAGTTAGATCCCAGCTGCAGACGATTAAGCAGCAAACCTGTCTTGCGTTGGTTTAGACCAGTTTTATCCAACGCTGTGGTCTGGGGATGAGGGCCAAAGGGTCGAGAAGAAGTTTCAAAGGGAGGGTCAAGCAATTTTGAAATTGAGTTCACGTGTACTTGTTATCGGCTCTTTCAGCTTTACCAGTCTTGAAAAGAAAAGAACGTCCGCTTAATGTGGAGAATGATGTCCGTTGTGCCCGGTCCAGCATCAGATCAAACACTAGCAGATTTATCAAGACAAATCAGTGTCAAACATCGAAATGAAATGTAGACACTAAACTGCCAGTTAGTTATTGGTGATTGTTTTTCGCATATCATTTAAACTTTATTTACGTTGGGGCGCCACCTGAGAGTGCTGGTTTAGACGGTGGTACCGAGAACCGACCGTCAAATGGGAACGACAAATTATTGAATGCAAAATTGCCTAGTGAAATCACCAACAGAACAAGGAAACAAACAAAATCTGGTTTTTTTTTTCTGCGAAGTCCTGTCAATGACTTTTTTTTTAATTTGTTGTATATCCTGGTACGAAGCTGGCACTTTGTTTAGTCTTATAGCACGAGTCACTTTTGGTTTTCAGTGCTTTCTAATTGTTTACTGCACGGTACGACGCTCATATCGCTTTTGAAATCAATCCGAATGGTCTGCTGCTAAAGTACCAACGAAACCCGGGACTATGCAAAAATCATCGAGTTCTTGCTGGCATAGGGTGTTTGTAAAGTCTCACTACACTTTGCATGAAGAACAATTAAAAAAAAAAAAAAAACCAAGTATATGATGTCACAAAAAATGTGCTTAAAAAGTTATTACATTAACTACAGTTGTCAATGCCATGGTCTAACAAAACTTTTAAGAAAAGCCGGAAATCACCAATAAAATATTCTTTATAACAAGTTTATAAGAATGTCCACCACAAGCTTTAAGACATGATTGTACACGTCTGTCAATACTGACAAATACCTTCTGTAACGGTTCTGTTCTTCTTTCTTAAATGGTAATTCTGATTGATTCCTCTGATAACACTGTTCTGTTTTAAGTGCAAAAAATTACTTCAGCAGACGACAGCCATTTACTGCATTCTGCTCGTGATTAACTGTGAAGCTTATTTTTTTTATGACGTCATTTACCTTGTCTTTCACAATTGTTTTAAATAGTGTCTTGACACTTTACAGACACTATATAAAAAGATTCAGCTCTCATTTGGACACCACAAACACCATAAACAACATGGAGACGAACGATGGAAAGCAAACTGATTGCGTTATCTCTGACACGGAAAACTGCCTTAAAGATTGCACAGGATATGAAGGCATGGAAAGCCCTCTATGAAGCCTTATGTGCCACTAGGCATAAAGCAAACTTATCATGTATAGCATCATAATACTTTATACACCACAAGAGTGAGAAGGATCATCAACGTTTATTTTGTTTCATTTGACAACCAGGTATGTCTGGATGAATCACTTGATGGATGTATTGTGAAAAACCTGTTATATGCTGAGGATATATTTGTGATCGCTGAAAATGAAACACAACTGCAAGAAATGATGTACAGAATTGTAACAGAAAGTCAAAACACGGATCTTTGAAAAGCTGACAAACAGATGTAATAGTAATTGCAAAGTAAATGTTGCCTCCGATATGCAACATAAAAAAAAAAAAAAAACTGGGGCAACCCTCAGGCAAGTTAATATATTTGAGTACTTAAATACCCTCATAACATCAGCCATAAGATGTTTGAAAGAAGTTAAATGTAGAATAGCTCAGGAAAAGGCAGCATTTTACAAAATGAAGACTGTTCCTTGCAATCTTCCCTTTTCAAATCAGACGTGAGAAAGAATTATTAAAAGCTGCACAAATTTTATCCTGACCCACGGAAGCGAATCATGGAGAGTTGGTCGAATAGTGTGCAATTATTTAAAATTGGTGGAGATGTGGTCTTATAGATAAATGATGAGAATACCTTGGACAGATTAAAAAAAGTAATGAAGACATGTTGAAAGAAACTGATTCACAAAGAGAATTGATTGCCCACATCAGAAAGAGAAAGTCTGCGTTCTTTGTTCATATGATGAGAAGGAGAAAACCGGAGACCATCGATGCAGTGGGAAAGTTGAAAGGGAGGAGAGGCAATGGGAATAAGGACAAAGACGATTCTGGACAGTGTGACATCATGGCTTGGACGATTATCATTGTTAGAAGTTACTGACAGTACAAGAGGCCGAGGTTGTAGATGGACATAAATGTAACGACCAACGCAACACGGCAGGGATTATGGGAGAAAGAAGATATGCCAATCTGAGCAATAAAAGAGAAAGTAAGAAAGACGAACAAGAAGAAAAAGAAGAAGAAGAAGAAGAAGAAGAAGAAGAAGAAGAAGAAGAAGAAGAAGAAGAAGAAGAAGAAGAAGAAGAAGAAGAAGAAGAAGAAGAAGAAGAAGGAGAAGAAGAAAAAGAAAATGAAAAAAAAAAGAACCACAACACAACAACAAAGAAGAAGAAGCAGAAGAAGAACAACAACAGCGAAGAAAAAGAAGTAGAGGACGGAGAAGAAGAAGAAGATAAAGAAGAAGAAGAAGAAGAAGAAGAAGAAGAAGAAGAAGAAGAAGAAGAAGAAGAAGAAGAAGAAGAAGAAGAAGAAGAAGAAGAAGAAGAAGAAGATGAAAAAGAAGAAGAAGAAGAAGAAGAAGAAGAAGAAGAAGAAGAAGAAGAAGAAGAAGAAGAAGAAGAAGAAGAAGAAGAAGAAGAAGAAGAAGAAGATGAAGAAGAAGAAGAAGAAGAAGAAGAAGAAGAAGAAGAAGAAGAAGAAGAAGAAGATGATGATGAGGAGGAGGAGGAAGAAGAAGAAGAAGAAGAAGAAGAAGAAGAAGAAGAAGAAGAAGAAGAAGAAGAAGAAGAAGAAGAAGAAAAAAGAGTGAAAAGAAAAAAATATTAGATCTTTTATTTGAATGGTAAGGAAACTGGGCATCTCATGTGATACACATGGGCTCTTTCCTCAATAAAGGATTAGGTATTTTTTTGAACGGCTAAAATAAACGTCTTAACCTGCACAATTTTTGCACTAATCATTCGATTCTCTCCTCCCCTGCCCTTTTCTCTGCTCTAAATGGGGACACACTTGACGAAGACATCGTTTGTTCCTGAACAGCTGAAATTTGTGAGTCCGCATTCTGAGAGGAAAAACAAAAAAAGAATAGACCCACTGCCTCCCGTACACGACAACTCATTAGGGAAGTTTCCTTTGATGTCAGATTGCAACAGTTTACTTACAAATAAGCCAGGTGTATAAATCAGATGTGCACGCAAAAGACAATGTTTTGTTGTTTTGTTTTTGAGAGACAAGCGACAGATTTTCATTTCTTTTGCCTTCGCAATTGAGTTGACTGTTGTTGATACGTGCATCCTCAAAAGGGAGGGACAGGACTGGAAACAGTGAACAGAATGTGGGAGAGGGAGGTTCTTAAGAGGATTAAACCTTACTTAAGCGTGCAATTATTATGTATTATAATTATAATTATTATTATTATTGTTTTTATTATTATTATTATTATTAATATTATTATTATTATTATTATTATTATTATTATTATTATTATTATCACTAGATGACTGGCTTATAGCAAAGAATACACTAAATAGTACTAATTGTTTTTTGTTTTATTCAAAGTATCTATAATTATTTCTTGTTATGAGCATAATGCGACCTATTTTTTTTCTTGTAACGAGAATAAAATATTCTATTACTTTCTAGTTACGAGCAAACGACAACTACTGTTTGTATTTATAACGGTTAGGTCAAGATGCGGTAATATTTGACTTCTTCGACACGAACGGAAGTGGGACACTCACCTCTCAAGACTTCACAATATTATACCTACGCATTAACACGGACTTTAATACAAATATTTCTCGACAGGAGTTAATTACGTAAGCCAAACTGTGATGTCTACCTGTGTCACATTGTGATGTCTACCCATGTAGCATTGTGATGTCTTCCTTTGTCACATTGTGATATTTACCTATATCAAAGGTGTCTACACTACAGTGTCTATCTATGTCAGTGATATCTACAAATGTCACATTGTGATGCCTTTCTGCGTTACATTGTGAGATCTAACTATGTCAGTGATGTCTACGTATGTTAAACTGTGATGTCTATCTATGTCAGTGATGTCTAGCTATGTTACAATGTGATGTCTACCTGTGTCAGTTATGTCAACATATGTCTATGATGTCTGCCCTATGTCACATTGCGCTCTCAACCAACGTCAGTGATGTCTACCTACTTCAAATTATCATATCTATTTATGTCACATTCTGATTTCTACCTATGTCACAGTTAGATGACTACCTATGTCAAATTCTAATGTCTGCCTTTTTTACAATGTCAGACTTCATATGTCACTTATATTTACTTGCTTCAGCGATGTAAACTTATATGATATTGTAATGTCCACCTTCATCACTGATGTCTACCTAGGTGACTCATGTCTACCTATATCACTGATATCTACCTATATCACCAATGTCTACCTATATCACTAATGTCTACCTATATCACTGATATCTACCTATATCACCAATGTCTACCTATATCACTAATGTCTACCTATATCACCGATGTCTACCTAGGTGACTCATGTCTACCTATATCACTAATATCTACCGATGTCTACATATATCACTAATGTCTACCTATATCACTGATGTCTACCTATATCACTGATGTCTACCTATATCATCGATGTCTACCTATATCACTGATGTCTACCTATATCACCAATGTCTACCTATATCACTGATGTCTACCTATATCACCAATGTCTACCTATATCACCAATGTCTACCTATATCACCGATGTCTACCTATATCACTGATGTCTACCTATGTCACCAATGTCTACCTATATCACCAATGTCTACCTATATCACCAATGTCTACCTATATCACTAATATCTACCTATATCACCAATGTCTACCTATATAACTAATATCTACCTATATCACCAATGTCTACCTATATCACCAATGTCTACCTATATCACTGATGTCTACCTAGGTGACTCATGTCTACCTATATCACCGATGTCTACCTATATCACCTATGTCTACCTGTATCACCGATGTCTACCTGTATCACCGATGTCTACCGGTATCACCGATGTCTACCTATATCACCAATGTCTACCTATATCACCAATATCTACCTATATCACCAATGTCTACCTATATCACCAATGTCTAACTAAATCCCCGATGTCTACCTGTATCACCGATGTGTACCTATATAACTGATGTCTAACTATATCCCCGATGTCTACATATATCACCGATGTCTACCTATATCACCGATGTGTACCTATATCACCGATGTCTACCTATATCATTGATGTCTAAATATATCACCAATGTCTACCTGTATCACCGATGTCTAACTAAATCCGCAATGTCTACCTGTAACACCGATGTCTACTAATATCACTGACGTCTACCTATATCCCCGATGTCTACCTATATCACTGATGTCTACCTATATCACTGATGTCTACCTGTATCACCGATGTCTACCTTTATCACCGATGTCTAACTATATCACTGATGTCTACCTATATCACCAATGTCTACCTATATCACTGATGTCTACCTATATCACTGATGTCTACCTGTATCACTGATGTCTACCTATATCACTGATGTCTACCTGTATCACCGATGTCTACCTATATCACCAATGTCTACCTATATCACCGATGTCTACCTGTATCACTGATGTCTACCTATATCACTGATGTCTACCTGTATCACTGATGTCTACCTATATCACTGATGTCTACCTATATCACCGATGTCTACCTATATCACCAATGTCTACCTATATCACCGATGTCTACCTGTATTACTGATGTCTACCTATATCACTGATGTCTACCTATATCACTGATGTCTACCTATATCACCGATGTCTACCTATATCACCGATGTCTACCTGTATCACCGATGTCTACCTTTATCACCGATGTCTAACTATATCTCTGATGTCTAAGTAAATTCCCGATGTCTACCTATATCACCGATGTCTACCTATATCACTGACGTCTAACTATATCACTGATGACTAAGTAAATTCCCGATGTTTACATATATCACCGATGTCTACCTATATCACTGACGTCTAACTATATCACCGACGTCTGCCTATATCACTGATGTCTAACTAAATCCTAGATGTTTACCTGTTTCACCGATGTCTAACTATCTCACCGATGTCAACTAATGTTAGATGTCTTTATGTCGACTTGTGTTAACTAAATTCAGCTGTCGAAAGTCAGCTTCCCCGATAGGTAAGCGGGATTACTAATTATAACAGAGACGCACACACAGAAGCGCGCACACACACACACACACACATTTTACTCCTGCGTTTTTTTAGCGACTCAAACAAAATCAGTGAGTCTAAAATGTGACATGTCCCTGTATCCTAGGCTAGGTAATGATAGGAAATGTCACCTTCCAAGAACACAGGGGGGGGGGGGGGGAGTGCAAGCAAATCAGACTTTCTAACCCTGTGATGACTCTCTTCGTCGTTGATCCGGTGCTAGCACTTGAATATTTACTGGGCGAGGGCAATTGCGGCCACCGCCCCCCCCCCCCCCCCATCGTTTCCTTGCCTCCCTGTTTTCACTCAGTAGTATCCGTAACGCGTCTTTCCCCCCTTTTCTTTTTTTTTTTTTTTTTTACTTTTACATTATATAATCCTTCAAGTTAATACTAAGTAGAAATCATTATCTTCACGAAAATAATTGCAAAATCCCGGTAAATATGTAAAATAAAGGACCCTTTTCCCCGCCTTTAGGCGTAGGGGGTATATAGGGCTAGACCTATAATTAAAGACCATCAGCACAAGATAGGTGATGTGGTCAGCATCACGCCGGTCGCCTCTACTTCCTGGGACTGCACCCAGTACCCACTCAGGCCTAGGTCGATCTGGGAGCCAAGGTCATTTTTGAGGAAAAGTCCGCCTCCGCCAGGGAGTGAACCCATGACCTTCCGATTCGCGGCGCGCGTAAAGTAAAGATCGCTTTTCACGCCTTTATGCCCATCGAGTTTATGGGAAGAGCACCCATATTTTTACAGACCAACCGGCACTAGGTGGTTAATGTGGTCAGCATTACGTTTGCCGTCTTTACTTCCCCAGGACATACATCCTGGTACATTTTAGGCTGGGTCGACGCCCCAAACTATTTTAAAAATCCACGCAGCCAGCAATAGGTTTCGATCGCGGTACGTTGGAATTACAAGTCGGACTCGCAACGCCTAAGCCCGGTATGAAACTGTTTGTGTCACAGCTTCAGCGTCACAGTGTGTGGCTTTGTGCACATGTGCAGATGTCTGAGATAAGCAACTGCACATTATATAGAAGAGGTACTATCGCAAACGAATTGCCGACCCTGTTTTATCACTTTTCCCCCCACGCCTAATGTAACAAATGATCGTTGAACTTGACCAATTCATCACTTACATCAACAATTTCAATCCGGCTATCAAATTCATCTATTGTAACAGGATGTTTTATTAATAATTGAATCAAAATTGAACTGTAACAATTTAAACTATGAGTAAACAAATTATATCAAGTTTATATAAACATTTTCATTTCAATTTTGTTTCGTTTTACACAAAATACAAAACTATGAAAAAAAAAAAAAAAAAAAAAAAAAAAAAAAAACTTGCTTCTTAAACAGTGTAATGACTGCGAGATACAGCTGTGTTCATGAATTTTAAATTATGAAGTAAAATTCTTGAGATTAAATGTGCAAATTGAATCTAGCAGATTTGTTTTCCATTTTTGTTGACAGGTATCTGAATAGGTACTGCTAAACTGCACAGTCATGGGTTTCAGACTTACCTTTGCCAAACCATACAGCCTGGGTTTCTGAGCAAGACAGGAGAACATGCAGAATATGACAATTAGTTAAAGCATTTTTGTCCCCAGAGGTATTTTATGAAAATAAAGTGGACATAAACAAAACCCTCTTCATCTTTGTCAGTGATGTCTACCTATGACAGTGATGTCTACCTATGTCAGTGATGTCTACCTATGACAGTGATGTCTACCTATGTCAGTGATGTCTACCTATGTCAGTGATGTCTACCTATGTCAGTGATGTCTACCTATGACAGTGATGTCTACCTATGTCAATGATGTCTACCTATGTCAGTGATGTATATTTATGTCAGTGATGTCTATCTATGTCAGTCATGTATATTTATGCCAGTGATGTCTATCTATGTCAGTCATGTATATTTATGTCAGTGATGTCTATCTGGGTCAGTGATTTATATTTACGTCAGTGATGTCTATCTATGTCAGTCATGTATATTTATGTCAGTGATGTCTATCTGGGTCAGTCATGTATATTTATGTCAGTGATGTCTATCTAGGTCAGTGATGTATATTTATGCCAGTGATGTCTATCTATGTCAGTCATGTATATTTATGTCAGTGATGTCTATCTATGTCAGTCATGTATATTTATGTCAGTGATGTCTATCTAGGTCAGTCATGTATATTTATGTCAGAGATGTCCGTCTAGGTCAGTCATGTATATTTATGTCAGTGATGTCTATCTATGTCAGTCATGTATATTTATGTCAGTGATGTCTATCTATGTCAGTCATGTATATTTATGTCAGTGATGTCAATCTAGGTCAGTCATGTATATTTGTGTCAGTGATGTCTATCTAGGTCAGTCATGTATATTTGTGTCAGTGATGTCTATCTAGGTCAGTCATGTATATTTATGTCAGTGACGTCTATCTCGGTCAGTCATGTATATTTATGTCAGTGATGTCTATCTGAGTCAGTGATGTATATTTATGTCAGTGATGTCTGTCTATGTCAGTCATGTATATTTATGTCATTGATGTCTATCTAGGTCAGTCATGTATATTTATGTCAGTGATGTCTGTCTAATTCAGTCATGTATATTTATGTCAGTGATGTCTATCTATGTCAGTCGTGTATATTTGTGTCAGTGATGTCTATCTAGGTCAGTTTTGTCTATCTAGGCCATTCATGTATTTTTATGTCAGTAATGTCTGTCTAGGTCAGTCATGTATATTTGTGTCAGTGATGTCTATCTAGGTCAGTTTTGTCTATCTAGGTCAGTCATGTATTTTTATGTCAGTGATGTCTATCTAGGTCAGTGATGTATATTTGTGTCAGTGATGTCTATCTAGGTCAGTCATGTATATTTGTGTCAGTGATGTCTATCTAGGTCAGTGATGTATATTTGTGTCAGTGATGTTTATTTTTGTCGGTGATGTTTACCTATATGAGTAATGCCTAAATTTGCTTGGTGAAATCTACCTATACGAGTGTGTCTAAAATTTGTTGGTGAAGTCTACCTATACGAGTGAGACCTAACTTTGTTGGTTATGTCTAGCATGATATGCTCCATCCACCGCCTGAAGAAAGTCTTTTTCATATATATCACTACTGCAAAAGGGGACTGGGTGGATTTTAGTTGCTTATATTACTTGAAGTTACTTGGTAATGGTTGATGGATAATATATCAGATAGGACGAATGAACGATGTTGTGATCAGCGTTTCTTCGTTACTACTAACCATGCGAGAACTGGGACTAAAGATGTAAAAGCCAGGCATGAGATGTACACAGAACGTACAAGAAGTCATGTTAACCAGCACAGAACTGGTACTTTTTTTGGCGGGACGCTAATTTATATTCTGAAGGGGGAACGTTATGTAACTGTCCACGATACCTGAACTAATGACTCATAATTCAGTAAATTTATAGTTTGACGTTTCAAAAACGGATCAACATCATTGCACACGCGTAGTAATCCATGAGTGCTCCCTTCTTCATCTAATTCAAGTCTGAGTACAAAGAAGTTCAGCATAGTGCACAGGCTCTGTAGCACCTGCGAAGATCCTGAAATACTTTTTTTTTACCTCCAAATTTTGCCCAGGCAGCACCGATAGGCTCCTTTTTTTTACTTCCAGCTGCCAAGAAATTTTTTGAGGGGGAGCAACAATGCACACAGGCTTCTGATCTCACTACCTAGAGACAAGGTGAAATACTAGAAGTCCAGGTGAAACAATTTTAGCCCTCATCGGGAGTTTTAACCCGGAACCTCTTACACTCGTGGCGGAATCATGCATCGTGACCACGAAGACCCCCCCCCCCCCCTCCTCCCTCTGCCCTCAGTCAGTCAATTCATATAATCTTATTACATTTCCTAAACTCTTGCAGATTGTTTTATATGCTATATTTCTTGCTTTTTAACCTAAAGTGAGTTTCGGCCAGTGTTGTAGAAAGTAAAGGCGGTCGGCGTGATACAAATACAACATCCCTAGAGTCTAGTATGATATCCGTGATGTGGCATTGGCGTGATCTGTTCAAGTCATCTGTTTAGATTTCTTAACTACATAAAAGTATTCATTTCATTCTCCTGTTATGCTTTTATATTTCATACAGGACTCACACTCTACACCTCTATCCCGTTTTATCCTGCGTGCTCAGTTTAATACCATGGATGGAGTCCAGTCCAACAGTCTTGGCCTGTCTTATTAACATTCGTCTTAGGATTGTGGTAGTGCGTCTATTCCTTCGTAAGCTAATGTTTTCCTATTTCAGTGCCCGTTTGGTGATTCGTTGCTCGTATCTTCTCAAAACATGTCCAGTATAGCGCCATCTTGTCCGTCTTGTAACTGTTGAGAGAAATGGTTGCCCTGGTATTATGCATGGATTTGTGTTTGTTCTTTGGCATGCCTCCATAAGTAATAATATTGCGCTGTAGATTACGTAGGTGGATATTGATCCAGTAGGACAAGTTAGTGGACGGCATTTTGTAAAATATAAAATATCCAACACCATCACCTTGAAGAAACAACAGGAGGGAATGGGAAAAAATGGTGGGATGGGTGTGGATGAAAAACCTGTTGCCAACTTTCGTTATCAGACATGCATGCATGTGAAATTTAGTAACTCTAAACCGCTTTATCAGCATAAATTATCTCCCCCTTTGCACTGAATTAATTATTCAGTAATAAATGATTGAGATTCAAATATTGTTATAAGTTGAGAAGAGACCAGCTCTGACGGGACACAAGCTTGAGTGCTGTATTGCATATCGAGGTAAGTTTTCTCACAGGTTTGTATTGTCCTTTTTGTGATGTAGCTTTCTGGCACCTGGGAATCCGTTCAGATCTTAGTTCTTCACCAATGGCTGACATCTGATGACTCTCTGTAACCAAACCTTTTCAACGGCAAATGCAGCAAAGAGACGTTATTGTCCTCTGTTCGCAAACGTCTCGTTTCTAGTATTAGACAAATGTTGCTGATGATATCCTTCCACTGTCTCATCATCTCCTCACCATCAGCTTTCTTTGCCACAGGACAAGCCTGTAGAAACAGCAAAAAAGAAGGTGTGTAGTCTTGCACCATGGGAAGTGGACTTTCATATGACCCAATGGATATAGTTAATGTTATACATGGGCCCAACAAATTCTTGAAAGAGAAACCCACCCACCTACTGGGACCTAGCTGAAGATTTTCTGAATGAACGATGGGAAAGAATGAAATAGAGCAATGTGACTGAATAAAATAGAGCTTTTTTTGTCTACAACTTCAAAACATAGGGATGGAAGTGGAGGCAATTACTGCAGCTCTGATTTGGAAAGCAGAAAACAAAGTTACTAAAGGAATTTTTGTGTCTGATTCTCAGTCGGCACTGCGGAGGGTTCAAAAGGACTTATGTGGCATGAGTGGATACCATGCATCAGTACGCCAACATTGCAGAGAATCACATGGATATACTGTCCGGGATATGCAGGAGTGCGAAGGGATGAAAGAGCGGAATTTCTAGCTACAAAAGCGAAAGCTATAGGAACACTGGTACTGGACAAGGGAGATATTTTGAGGTCCATTCATGAACGACAGTGACAGAAGACACGAAATTATATGAAATAGCTGTGCAAGAATGTGTGAACGTTAAATTAGGTGTGGATCCGTCAAGGAGGGACGTATGTAATTAAGAGAACTAGGCGTGTTTAGCCAGTGTGCTACGGAAACAGCATCTACACACCTTAAGACATTTGCTGCAGGAGACGGATCATTTATGGGTATGCCTGGTGTGCTATGATGTCGATTATTTAATCAGTAATCTGTAATCCTTATCAAAAATATCTGTACAAATGTTGCGACGTGTATTAATTTATTTCACATTTTTGGTATGCTGACATTTCTGTTAGACAAGAAAAAATAACTAAACGGGTTAAGAATGCGTACAGTTTGTATTTTAGCTTAAGAATAGGAGATCAGGATGAGATCTGGGCGTCACACATTTGCCGCAATACATGTAAAGAAAAACATTAACTGTGGTTGACTGGCAAAAGGCAGGCAATCTATTCACAGTTCCAGTGTTATAAAGAGAGACAATAAACCGATCATGTCAATAATAGTTACTTTTGTATGGTCCCTCCAGTTAGGAAAGGTATACCGAAAAAGATAAAATGGACTCTGGATTATCTAAAAATCCCCTCTACAATGTATCCGGTACAATCCTTCAGTGATTACTGATTACTGTAGCCATACCTCATCAGTTGACTACAAGGAAAAGCAAAGAGAGTTCAAACAGCCACTGAATAATACAGAATGTGTTCAAGTGCGCCTTTTGTTTGTTTGTTTGTTATACCAGTTTATGTTGAAATATCAAGTCACTATGTAACCACAATTTCTAAAATTCTAAAGTAGACAACACTGATTGTTTACACCTGAGAATTAAACAAACATACATTATATTAGTGTAAAGTAAATTCGACAACAAAGAGCCAACGGGTTAATTAAGTTATGAT